ATCCTCAACAAATGGTGCTAGCAAAACTGGATCTCCACCTGTAGAAAAATGAAACTAGATCCTTATCTTTCACTGTGCACAAAATTCAACTCCAAATGGATCAAAGGCCTCAGTGTGAAACTGGAAACCCTGAAACTATTAGAAGAAAATATTGGCAGTAACCTACGAGGTATAGGTGTAGGAAAGGATTTTCTAAATCAGACAGAAGTTGCTCAGGAATTAAGGTCAGCAATCAATAAGTGGGACCTCATTAAATTAAAAAGCTTCTGTACACAAAAGAAACAATCAAAAAAATTGAAGAGAAAATCCACAGTGTGGGAAAAAAATCTTCACTAGTAACACATCCGACAGAGATTTAACATCCTGAATATATAAAGAACTCAAAAAACAAAGAAGTGAGAAAGAAAATGACCCAATTAAAAGATGGGCTAAAGATCTAAACAGTTCTCAAAGGAAGAAAAGAAGTCTCACAACAGATGGAGAATTTATTTGTTAATGCTATTATGTCCCATAATTACTATTTAAAAAGTAAGAAAATGAGAATGTAAAAGATATTTAAAAGATATGGGAAATGGAGATATTTTCCAAAATAGAAAAAATGAGAAAGCCTAAGAAAGTGATACAGGTCTGTTTAGGTTTGTTATGATATAGAAAGGATGAAACAAAAATAATATACACATAATCTTAAAATGTCTGTAGTCATAGTTTAGTCAGCTAGTTTAAGGAACAAAATATATATATCTAATCAAGGTTTATCTGAGAATATTTGGTTCTTTACCCAAGCCTTATCTATATAGCACATGATAATTAAAAGTACCAGACTGGTGGAACTAACCTTATTGGATGTCTAATAGCCATACACTGAGGCCTACACTAATGTGGTCAGAGGGACTTAAAGGACAGTTTTTGCACCTTGCCCTCCAAGGTCAACTAAGTTCCAGGGGACTATGGAACATCTCTCAAAATGTCCTGTAACTGTGATGCGTCACCTGTCTTCTTGTTCAGGGGGACCATGGAGACCACATGAGATGGATTTGAACCAGTGTCCAGTCTATAAAGAGGAGGGTCAACTCAGAGTAAAGATCTCATTCATGCTTCCAAGTGAAGCCAGACATGGTCGAGCAGGACCTTTGACACAGATGGAACTGGTAAAAGAAAGGAGCCAGGGGCTCCTCCCAAGCCCATGTGACCTCCGAGAAACACATCCTCAAATGACCTTAAGTGTAAAAATAAACTAATTAATTTGGGCCAACTGTATGGTCTTAAACACCCAAAAGGAAAGTATAACCAAAGATTAAAGTGATCAGTGTATTTTAACGGTTCAAGGG